GGTGACAAATTCCTTCAGTTTTTGTTTGTTTGGGAAGACCTTTATCTCTCCTTCTATTCTAAATGACAGACTTGCTGGATAAAGGATTCTCAGCTGCATATTTTTTCTGTTCAACACATTGAAGATCTGTGCCAATCCTTTCTGGCCCTCTTCCGTGGGCCTCTCGTCTGCGCTTGGCTTCGGTGACTCTGTTCTGCTAATCCTCTGGCGGTTTTCTGTGTTATTTAGGCAGGTGTAGGTGGAATCTAAGTGATCAGCAGGACGCGCGGTGAGCCCAGCGTCCTCCTAAGCCGCCATCTTCATTCTTTCACTTTGGCATGTTTTTTAAAGTGTCCCCGAGAATCTTCTAATGGAGTGGTTCTTAACTTGGGCTATACCTTAGAGTCATCTGGGAGTTTTAGACAGTCACGATGCCCGGACCAATGAAACCTGTGGTGGCAGGAGCGTTAACATATTTTTTCTAACTTCCCAGGTGATTCCAGTGTGACCTCAAGGTTGAAAACCACAATCTATATTTAATGTCCTGAATACTGATCTTAGATCATAGAGTGTTCCAGTGGGTCTGAGGCAGCTGAAATGCAGTGCCTTGTTCGTCTTCCTCATCAATTTGTCTGTAATCCTTAACATATAAAATATTGAGAAACCCAGCATAAGGGATTTGCCTCCAATGCTAGTTTCTTCTGATTTCTTTTCTGTTCAGTATAGTTTTAGGATGATAGTAATATTTTATGGGATAATTTCCCTTTTGACCATTTACTGCACTGATCCAAGCAAAAACTAATCATCTAGTTTTGATGAACTGCCTTACCAAAGTGAAAATATATTTGGATTTATTATAAATTACATTATCTATTAGCCATTCCAAATTATTTTATTGGCACATGGAGGGTGTTAGCAGTCTTTAGCTTGTGTCATGAAAGGGCTAAATAAGATTTGCTGTTTCTAATCAAAAGTCCTTCTTTTTTGCCTTGACATAATGTGGGCATTAAAATAAGACGTATCTTAGATTCTTTGACCTTAAATCTGATTTTGAATAAACAGAAGACCTCAGTAGTTACACATGCATATGTACACAAGAGGGAGAGAAACTTTCTTTTATTTCTATATAAAGTATTAATGGGGTTAATCACGTAATAATATGAAATTCTTGGAAAACTTTAGTGTAAGTATGGAGACACTTTCTACCTTCTCACTCCTTGGAGCCAATCTGCATCTTCCCCTATAACCTTCCTCCATTTGTTCTCTCATCCTTTCCTTTCCTGCTATTGACACCTAGTGGTAGCCCTGGCATGAGTTTTGTTACCTACCATGGAAAACTCCAGCTTTTCCTCTGTGAACTTGCTCACCAATATCTTGCTCTAAAAATAGTTTGTTGTTTTTTTTAATGTTTATTTATTTTTGAGAGAGAGAGAGAAAGAGCATGTGTGTGAATGGCTGAGGGGCAGAGAGAGAAGGGGACAGAGGCTCTGAAGCAGGCCAATGTGGGGCTCAAACTCATGAACCAAGAAGAGATCATGACCTGAGCTGAAGTTGGATGTTTAAGTGACTGAGCCACCCAGGAGCCCTAAAAATAGTTTTAAATGTCTCATCTCACCATTGTGAGCCCCTGTTCTGTCCTCTGAGCATCAGGCTGTTTCTAGGCTGACTTTTCTAGGACTAAGCTCTTCCTCTCAGAGAAGTTCAAAAACTGCCTTCAATCCTAAACCATAATCTATTTTGTGAATAATGAAGACCTCAGTGTGCTGATAGTTTCACTACAGGGTGATTTGAGGAGTATCAACCAATCAGGATTTCTTACTCTTTCAAACCAGAAAAGGGTGATAACATTGCCCTTATGAGGCCATTGTGATTCAGATAAGAGAAAGGGTGGCTTCAAATACAACCTATCTGCTCATAACATAAGTGAGAGTTTGTTGTGGATACCTATGTGACATTCCTACTTGTGGCAGATGTTCACCAAACATCCCATCCACTACCCCACATTTCCCACTCTGTTTACAGTTGGTTGAGGTCATGTGTCCCTTCTAGATTGAAGCATAGAAGAGTTCTTACTCCACCTCCCCAGTCTCTCTCTCTCTCTCTCTCTCTTTTTTTTTTTTTTTTTTTTTTTTTTTTTTGTCACAACCACAGACATTATAGATGATGGACTTCTACTGACCTGGGTCCCTGAGTGACTATGTGAGACAGAGACCACCCATCAACCCCCACTCACTACCTTCCACCAAGCCATGAAAGATACATAACTTAAGTGAGAAATTAACTGTTGTGTTAAACCACTGAAATTCTAAGGTTGTTTATGATTACACCAAAGCATAATTTAATTTGACGTCTCATAGCTATCATCAGTTTTATGTGTTCGAGGTTGAAATATTAATTTTCTCCTGTAAACCTGTACTTCTTTTTTTCCTCCATCTCTATAAGTGACAACCCTGTTCATCCACATGCTTAAGGTAGAAACCTGGATGCCATACTCACATCTCCCCTTTTCTTCTCCTGTGCAGAAAAGAGTTAACATAGCTGACCAAAGATGGCTCTCCTTATAAAGCTCTGCTTGTAAGGTTGGCCCCTGGCTGACATCTGGGAACATGGCTGGTAAAATAGTTCTCTCTACTGAAATAAGATTTCCCCTAAATAGTAAGGATACCTCGCTGTGACTCATCTGTTTGTACAAACAATATGGTTTATGCTGACCATGACCTGCTTTCCTTCTGGGAGTCAAGAACTTTGGTGCATGCTAGGCAGAAGTGCTTGCATGACCAGCCCTAATAAAAACCTTTGGGTGCTGAACCTTTAACGAGCTTCCCTGGGCAAAAACATTGCACACCTATTTTTGCATTTTCGTTGCTGGCAGAAGAGTCAGCTTTGTGTTATCCCTCCCCAGAGGGAGAGAACATAAGGAAGCCTGCACTTGGATTCTTCCATTTTCTACCTGTGTCCTTTTTCCTTACCATCCAGCTCTGTATCCTTACAATATCACTCTAGTAATCTTAGCATGAGAAGGACTATATAATGAGTTTCAGGAGTCCTTCTAGTGAGTGAATCCCCAAACACAATGTTGTCTTAGGACCCCTTGGGCTATCCCCCCATATCTAATCCAATTCTGAGTCTTGTCAATTCTACTTCCTAAAATGTACTTCAAATTACTTTTTTTTTTAATTTGTTGCCACCATTCTGGAAGGTGCCATCATCTTTTATTTGTATTGGACATTAAGAGGACCCAATAGAAACCACCTTTTTTCCCTGCCTGAATTTGGAACCAACTCAGAGATATAGTAAGAGATCAAAGTGTAAACTTTAGTTAATGATAAAAATCTAGATTGGGATAGCTTAGATGTG